CATGGGGAGACAAATGAAGAACAAGATGCATCCCTCCTTCAACCCCATATCCAATCAACTTTGCAATATTGGGATGGTCAACATGAACTATGACACCAAGCTCAGATAAGAAGTCTGCAGTCATTTCTTCTTGAGAACCCCGAGTCAGGCGTTTGATCGCGACAATCTGCCCATCTTCCAATGTTCCCTTGTAAACTTCAGCATAGCCTCCCTCTCCAATCAAATTCTCTTCAAGAAGGACAAACAGCAAAATGTGATGGGCATATAAGACAGTGACAACCTTTCTGAAAGAACGGAATTATCGTGAAATATGACGAATGCAATGTAATTCTATGAAGAAATGTGAGTACACACCGTGGCTGAAGTTGTTGGTTGCGGCTTCCAGCTCCAAGAGTGAGTAATTCTTCCAGGAAGATTTGAAGCGGCAGAAGTCAGCATCGAAAGACCTCAGAGTAGGAGAGTTGATCTGTGGAATAAAGTCTATTTTTTTGCTTTTCCTTCTGGTGAGTTTTGGTTTCTGAGCACCTTTAGGAGGGAAGGTTGGGAAGGGATATTGGGGTCCTTTTTTCAAAATACGAAAGAAACCGCGCCATTGATAGTTGGCTCTTGGATCGGAGTCTGAAGTAGCAGTGCGGCTGCCTCGTCCATCCGAGTCTGAAGTGCTGGTCATAGGAGAAGATGCTCCGGATCCTAAGCTTCTCGGGCAGTACTCATCCTCAGAAACTCCTCTCGAAGAGAGCTCATGTACTGAGACATCCTCATCCAAGTTTAATGATCTCAAGTCTATATGACAAAAATCCCGACAGAATTAGTACCACATTGCTATATATATGCAATAAAAATTATTAGAAGAATAGGAAAACAAAGTTGTTACCTTGACTTGAAAAAGATTCGGAGAATCCAGCTCGTGCTCTTCTTGATCCTCCGTGAGCAGAGGGTGTTGTAGCCTGCGCTTCTTGATTTTCTTTGGCCGTTTCGCGGGAACCATTGCTGCCCATACGAAGCTTTGTGTCAGCAAAGAACAGAGAATATGACAAAATCCAACAGCGTTAGAGAGCCTAAAGAGCAAATTCAGCCAAACCAAGATGATGTAGTACTAGTTCCGACCATCCATGTGGGGAGGAAAACGGGAAGAAAAGGGCCACAAAATATGACACATGCATAAAGAAATATCTCAAAGGTACGTATATAGAATCAAACAAATCATTTGTGTATGGATTAGACAAGAACCGTTGAAACATCATCTCTTGAGAAACAGGAATATTCAAGCAAAACAAATAAAATCCGAAAACACACAAAAATCCAAAGCGACATTGTAAACCAACAAAACCGTAGTGTAAATGAAAAATGTACCGGCAAAACGATAATGCTTGGATCCTCGCATGTAAGAAACAAACCATAGTTGGACACATACACAAAGATATCTCATTTAAAACAAAAAATGATGCAGACATGAGCGTAGTCACATTGGTTAGAACGGATGTGCTACTCTATGCAATTTAAGTTAGTTTAAAGAAAATTATCGTTTGTATTATAAAAACAACTTCAAGAAAAGTTTCTACACGCAAGTTGCATTTCAATTTGTCTGCAAGGAGGAATGAATCGTATTTTACCCTAATGAATGCAATGTGACAAGTAAATGCAACCTCCTAGGTCATACGTTCATATTACTAACAGGAAATGAAAATTTTTACCATTGCATGATGAAAGTTTGAAAGATTGACTGCTTACTGCTTAGAGACAAAAGCCGCCAAACCCGAAGCTATGATCTGAAAAGCAGGCACGGAGGTGATTACCATGAAGAAGTTTCTGGTTCAGATTCTGGGGCATCTTCCATGAATTTTCAGAGGCCGCCACAAACCAAAGAGAGCCACTGAAGGTTTCAGAAGCCAAAGGAACGACACACCACACGCAGAAACCTAGAGAGAGAAAACCAAGAGAGAGAGAGAGAGAAATGGAAAATAGTGGCTGCCATGATTTTTCCCTCTAAATATTCCTGCATTTCTGGACAATTCAGCCATGCATAAAAATCGGCTTTTATTTGTTATTGGCACAACGTTAGCTTCATAATCCAGTCTATCTGATCTGTCTAAAATATGTAGAAATAGCAACGTGTAAATTTAGCATGTTTGTGAAAGGCTTTGCTTGCAAGCACGTATGGCTATGGAGATTCCCCAACTGCTACAATTACACGTTTTCTGGGTCTTTGCCACGTGGCAAAAATTAACAATCAACGGTCTGAAACGTGGGGCAGTATTCAGCAGACTGCTGTGTGTGGGCTGGACCACACTTCTCGTAAATGTATTTTTTTTTTTTTTTTTAAGATATAGAAAGTTTTTGTTTGCCCTCACTAAGTGGGACTGGACTGGACTGAACTAGCTGTTAGTCCAATACCGTGTTTGTTCCATACTGGGACTAACATTAATGAGACTAAAGGGGACTAGCATGGACAAAACCCTTCACTAAGAGGTCTTAGCGAGACCCCCCAATAACCATGGGACTAGCTAAGACTATCCTCTCTCGTCCTCGTCATGCTCAACAACCACTCCCGATAGACTCCTCGTCATCTCCGGTCACCTAGATCATAATAAAATATTAATAATTTATATATTAAATAATATAATATTAGAATTTGTTATTATCCAGTTTCTTAGTCCAACACTGCACCAAACGCTTCACTAAGTTAGTCCAGCTTAGTCTAGTCTAAGCCAGTCCAGCTTAGTCCTTGAAGCTAGTCCAGTCCGAGATAGTCCGGCGCAACAAACGCCCCCTTAAAGTGCAAATAAGACTTTTGAAGTACTGTTAACAATTATGTAAGTTTATTATTCATCTATTGGGGTCGGGTTTATCCTAATAACCGGCTTAGAATGTGCTTAATTTGACCTCAGCATGAGGTGTCGATGTATTCTCTTAAAGTCTTGCCATTCGACCACTAATACGTCACTTCGTTGACAAAGGCCAGGTCGAGTGGGTGAAAAGTTGTTAGTAGGCTGGTACAAATCGTTGGCACATAAAATGCTGTTTTGAGAGGTATCTATGGGGAAAGGCTTATATAAAAGGGTAGAGACTTTCGTTGTGTGGGTTGGACGAATAAGAGATAATAGAGTGGATGCATTGGCCGAGTGCTATATAGTCTTGAAATCAATATACTGAGAGCAACACAGTGCATTGAGGGGTGAATCACTTACATCTTTGAGTCAATTCAATCTTAAATTCTTAGCCCACCTAAAATCATTTATTTAAGTTTTTTAACCTTATAATTTTGAGTGTCAACAATACGAATCACTAAGTAATTTGAAAAATTAACATATTTTTACAACAGTAAAAAAATTCAAAAAATGGTACCACTAAGTGAGACAAAGTCGGACTCTTGGAAAAGACTTTCTTCAGTACCAAACTTAAAACAACTTGATATTACTTGAATCAGAGTCCATCCGTTGGTTCCCTGAAGATTGGCTATTCACAAGTTCACAACGACAAGGAATGGCTTTTCACAAGTTCACAACGACAAGGAATGCTTTTGAAATTGCACTTTAGGTAATTAACGTAGTACATGTTTTTTTCATACAAATGACAGACGTGACGAGTTGATATAATTATGTAGACTATTTTGACAAAATAATGGTATTAGGAGGTGATTTCTTGTATTTCACTTGGGATAAAACATTATTAAGAGTTGATTTATTTTGTCATTATGAACTATGAGGGATAAAACATTATTAATAAAACATTATTAAGAGTTGATAAAACATTATGTAGACTATTTATTTGTTTGCCCTCACTAAGTGGGACTGGACTAGACTAGACTAGCTGTTAGTCCAATATCGTGTTTGTTCCATGTTGGGACTAACATTAATAAGATTAAAGGGGACTAGCATGGACAAAACCCTTCACTAAGAGGTCTTAGCGAGATCCCCCAATAACCATGGGACTAGCTAAGATTATCCTCTATTGTCCTCGTCATGCTCAACAACCACTCCCGATAGACTCCTCGTCATCTCCGGTCACCTAGATCATAATAAAATATTAATAATTTATATATTAAATAATATAATATTAGAATTTGTTATTATCCAGTTTCTTAGTCCAACACTGCACCAAACGCTTCACTAAGTTAGTCCAGCTTAGTCTAGTCTAATCCAGTCCAGCTTAGTCCTTGAAGCTAGTCCAGTCTGAGATAGTCCAGCGCAACACGCCCCCTTAAAGGCCCAGATAGCTCGAGCGTCCTGCTCAAGCCTCGGTTACTTTGCCTTGCCTTGCCGAACATAACCCCGATTGCCTTTATGTCCCATCCTAGGTATTTGTTGTTGCTTGCATGTCATCAAGCAATCCAAGTAGCACTCGAGTACTTCTATTCTTGGAGACCTATGCCCACATGCCCACGTGTTCAACGCGCCCACGTGTTCTTCTTGGTCAGGAAACCCTTCTCTCGTCCCGATCGGAGTGAGCACGCGGGCCGGTCCTTTCAAGATTCCTTGGGCCTATGTCCTTGGGTGGGCCTAAATGGGCTCAGCGTTAACGCGTACCATGGAAGAAAAACTGGATATTCACATATAAATTTTTTTTGATGTAAGTAATTCTCACTTTACTTCTCTTAAGTAATGTGAAATTTACACTTTGCTACCCATAGTTTTCTTTTCTTTTCTTTTCTTTTTTTTGTTTTGTCTCAATTTCATACCTAAACTTTGATTTTTTTTTACACTTTAATATATCTACCAGTCATTCCGTCAACTTCTCTGTTAAGTAGTGATGTGGCTTAATTTTGACCCACCACATTTGCCACACGGATGAGAGATTCTCTTGTAAATCCAAGCCACCATGTCTAGTGCCAGCTTTTGGCAAAAAGGGTGAGTCAAAGTTTTGCCAGTCATCACTTAATGAAAAATTTAACAGAAAACCTAAGTATTAAAGTGTTAGAAAAATCAAAGTTTAGGTATGAAAGTGAGACAAAAAAGAAAAAATTAAGAATAACAAAGTACGAATTTCACAATACTTGAAGGTAATAAAGTGAGAATTATCTTTTTTATTTTTATCTTTATTTTCAAGGATGGACTCGGAACAAGAACAAGTTGTTTTCCAACAATGTCGAAGTTACTACTCATACAGTTAAGTAGCGGGAGTTCAAAGAATAGTAAAACCGGTTTAATTCGTATTTAATTTACAGCAAAAAAATAAACAGATTTAAGTGGTAAAACCGGCCTTTACAAGCCTCGAACCGTCAGTTTAATGGATATTGCGACTGATTAATCCTTCAAAAATAGCATATAGGTCCTTGTTATCTGGCCCAAATATCTCATCTGCCTTCTGTAATGTCTCCTGAAATTTTGCAGAACAGTCGCTCAAACAAGTGTTAATGGACAAAAATCAAATAAAAAGGAACAAACGCCGAGCGAGAGAGCGAGGATGCAAGGAACTCAAGGAAGGAAGCGCATACCTCTTTGGTTTGCTTGTGGCCGTTTAGTTCCTTAACATTTGCCAGGAATGCACCAAACTGCTCGTAAGACAAACGACTCCTGCAGGAGAAAAAGATACAAAACCACACGGTGAGAATGAACTTCCTCAATATTTTCTACAATGCACCAAACCGCTCATCAAACAAGTGACTGCTTAAAAGGTGGCATTCGAGACTCGAGAACCAGTTCCATGCTTTATGACTGCCTCATTTAGTTACAGATAAAATGGGGATGGCAATGCATCAGGCTTATTCCTTGCACGGTTCATAAGCATTCAGAGTCTCACAGCCAGTTACTTGGAAGTTAGAACTACTAGAAATAGCGGTAGTAAGATGTGAATCATGGCGGTGAATGAATTGTAAACCTGGTTCAATTGATTTAAAGTTCGTAAAACAACCTTAGCGATTTGGGATTGTTCTGTGTTATTACTTTGGAGAAGCAAGCAACCAGACATACCTAGTCAAAATGCACTTTTTCGTCTATTTCAATATTTTTCAGGCGTAAATTTCTGTAACTTGTTCCTTCGCACCAGATTCAAATTCAAAACTTAATTAGTGACTTTACCTGACTTGGCGGAAAAATTCTTTCCCATCCACCCTAGTTCTTCCTGAAACAGAATAAGCGAGAATCAAATAACCATACACGAACAGTGACCAAACTATTTAACATTGTTGCAGGGATACACCATATCCTACCTAAAAACAAAAATTATTTGAACTGTGATAAAACAATTTCTACAGAAGGTTTCTCGAGCTAACCAGATTCAGAGCCGTGATGGCTTGAGGGCACAGATGATCTGTTGTCAAACATGCCTCTTGAGGTGGCGAAGGACATGGAATGTCGCTTTGGAGACCCAGGTTTCGATGTTCTTGTTGGTGATGTGGATGCAGAATAGATAGGAGGAGAACCTGGGGGAGTGAACCGGGGTGTGCTAGTTTGGGATGCTAGCAAGAGGCTGTGTGCTATGCGAGGTCTTGAGGCTGCCATTGCAAAAAGAAAGCGCAAGAAATACAACAAGATTAAATTTGACATGTTAAAAAGATGTTCACTTAAAGCCTAACTGAAGCCATATTTTCGAGACCAAGATCCTAATTCAAACAGTACCATCTGTGTCGCGATCCTCGGTAAACGTACTTCCTCCAGAAAACGTGCTTTGGACTGAAGATGACCTCGACGGTGGTAATGTGGAAAATGTGACATCACCTTCTGAAATTACTGTCAAATTATCGCTTCGTTGTACGTTGCCAAAGCAGAGAACCAAAAGATATAAAGCATATGGAGTTGGCCAAAAACAAAATATGCAGACGGTAACAAAGGGGACACATGCATTCACAGTCTAATGGTTAATATTTTTCCGCAATTTATAGTCTGACAACATAAGCATGTCACTGTTTTACGACAATGATATGAACAAAACTACGACGAAAAACTGAAAATTAAGATTCCGGGTAGCAAACCTCCATCTCCATCATGTGGTTTTGAAGACGAGTGCTCTTCGGCTTGTACAGTATTAGCAGGCTTAGCAACAACGTCTGAAGCTCCACTCTGCGTCACAAAATCCAATCCAACATATCAAATTAATTAAAATAATTAAAAACAAAAATGTAATTAAATAAAATCGCTTACAGGATTTTCTTCATCCTCTGCAAGTGATCGCATAAGGGTCTTTCTGAACACCTCCAGCTGCGCACGTTAGCAAACCAAGCTTAGTCTAACAGAAAAACGGCGCCGTTTTAACTTCCGCAACCTGAAATTTCAAATTGGTGTTATACCTTCGAGACATCTCTGCTCAGCTTCCTCACAGTGTTGGCGAGTACGGCCTTCTCCTTCACCAATCCCTCCTGCAATTTCGGAACCCAAGTCAACTTTAGTCAACGAATTCACTGAAAACTGAACCGGGTTGAGATTCTTGGGCCGGGTCGGACCTTCTCCTGGTTCGCGAGGGCGAGCTTGTCAGCGGATTCGGAGAGAGAGGCGTCCAGGGACTCCACCTGTGATTGGAGGTCGGCTATGAGCCGGTCCTTCTCGGCGAGCTTCTCGCGCAGAGCGGACGACTCTGATTCCAGGGCCGAGACACGTGTCGAGAGCGCAAGGGACGTGATTTTGCGGGCCACATCGAGCTGCTCGAAAGGATCCGGCGGCAGTACTTCCAACACTTCCTCGGGAAGATCGAAGTTCGAACTCCCCGATTCCTTCGCAAGCATCTCCACTTTTTCTCTCTTTTTCTTTGTTTTCGATTTTTTTTTCTTCAACTTTTTTGTTTTTTTAATTAGATATTGGTAGATTTTGATTGGAGGATACATGTGGTTTGTGAATGGATAGGATTGTGGGAACAAGATACACGTGTAAAGTTTGAAGACGTTTGTATTTAGCAATATTCTTCTCTACTTGTAAATACGTTTTAAGTACAATCTGCATGGAAGGTTGACATTTTATTATTACTACATTTTACAAATGTTTTTATTCTTGGTACCCATTTTAAACACATCAATGAGTTTTTATCACTAACACAAACTTACACAGTGGTCCAATGGTATTCAGCTCTAATTATAGGTGGAGGTCTCAATTTCGATTTTCCTAATGGCGAGTTAGATAACTAATTACTCATTGGGTGACTTAACCTAAAATTGCCCCTTTCACTTGAAAGACTGAGTCGTGAATCCTCTTCCAATACAAACTTTTGAGTTTGTTTACTTGGTCAGCAGTTCTGATTGGCTAGCTTTTCTGTTATTATTATTTCATTTTTCAAAGTTGTTGTAATCAGTTTCCACCGTGTGTTTAGGTGATAGTTTGTTATTTTTGAATTTTGAATTATACCTTGTAAATAGGATTTTGAAAGTCCTGATGTAATTTGAAGTTGATTATAAATAGATTGCACCTTACGATGTTGAGGGTATGCAATACAGTAAAGAAAAACCTTGTGCGATATTTACTTTCTTGGAAAACCAGTTTACTGGAAACCTAGTTCTCTATAAATCCTAGTTCTTTATGGTACTCAGAGCCTTATAAGTCCAACGACAGAAGATCCAATTTTTTTTTCTACCCATAATGTCTTCCAACAACAACAACGCTGATGTGAGTGATACCCACCAAAATCCCCCACCTGCATTTCCTGCTGCCAACATGGCTTCTTCCATGACTACTGTTGTCAACATTAAGCTGGATATGATTAACTATCCCCTGTGGTTAGCTCAGATCCTTTCAATCCTGAAGAGTCGTGATCTTATGGGTTACGTCGATGGTTCCGTTGTTTGCCCTCCCAAACACCTTGTTGGGAGCAACTCTGTTAATCCCGCCTATAACACGTGGATGCAGTAAGACCAAATGATCCTCAGCTGGATCAATGGCTCTCTCACTGCCTCAGTTCTTGCTACTGTGGCAAGCAAACGGGCCGCTCGTGTAACATAGGAAGCACTAGAGCAAAGGTATGCGTCCTCGTCCCAAAATCGAATTATTTTCCTTCGCAATGAACTACTCCAAAGTAAGAAAAGTGAGTTATCTGTCGCTGATAATCTTGATAAGATGAATGCGATTGTTGACAATTTGGCTTTAGCTGGTAAGCATGTGGACGATGATGAACTTGTCTAAATCATTTTGAACAACCTTGGTCCTGCGTTTGAAATGATTGTCAATGCTGCTCAGGCACGTGATACACCTATCACGTACCCAACTCTTGAAGCACTTCTCTTGATTATAGAGAGAAGGATGGTGGAACAAATTGTCCCACTAGTTGAATTAGCCCTAGTGAATGCTTTTGTAGCAGCAAGAGGATGTGGTGGACGTTCTCATGGTACTAGACGCGATGGTTTTCTGTCCAATCATGGAGGTGTCAATCTACGAGTCTCTGGTTCTCGTAACAACAACTACCAGCGTGCTCCTGGTGGTAATGGTGATCGATTTGGGTGTGGAAGCAGTTGTATTACCTGCCAGATATATGGAAAGGAAGGGCATCCAACCCTTGATTGTTACCAACGCATGAATGTTGCATATGAAGGTCGTATTCCAGCCAAGCGTCTGAGTGCAATGGCCTCTTCACTGATCATTTTGAATCGCCAAAACAATGGCTCTTGGTTGCTCGATACAGGAGCAAATGCTTACATCACTCCTGATATTTAGAACTTGGTAAATCCCAAATAGTACAATGGTAATGAAAACATTGAAGGTGTAGATAATGACACTGGCCTTTCTATTGCTCACTTTGGTTTGAATCAAATAAATACTACTTCTTGCTCATTTAACCTTAATAATATTTTGCATTGTCCATCGGCTTCAACAAACATAATATCTGTTTATAGATTTATGCTAGATAACCATTGTTAACTTCTAATTTTTCCATACCATTTTGTTGTTAAGGACCTCAAGACCCAGAGGACGTTTTTCCAAGGGAGGTGTGAGAATAGCTTATGCCCATTTCAAAGTGGTGGTGGAATATCCAAGCATTGTTTGTTTGCATTCGTAGGAGTTCGTGTCTCGGCACAAAAATGGCACTCTCGTTTAGGCCATCTTGCCGTTCAAATAATCAAGTTTTCAATTTTGAATAATCAAGTGCCAGTTCATGGCACCAATGATGTAAAATTTTGTCAGTTCATGGCACCAATGAATAATCAAGTACCTCTGAGTCTATTTCTAAATTTCCATTAGAACTTTTAATGTTTTGTGTTCTCCTGTGGTTTCAGTTGAAGGATATAAATATTATTTGCTTTTTGTGGATGATTTTTCACGATATTCATGGATTTTTCCCCTTAAGCAAAAATCTCAAGTCTTTGAAGTGTTTGTCACGTTTAAATAGAAAGTGGAAAATATGTTTAATTGTACTATTAAAACTCTTCAATGTGACGAGGGAGGAGAATATAAAAGTCATGCTTTTACTCAATTTCTTGCACTACATGGAATTTCTCAATGATTTTCGTGCCCTAAACACCCTGAACAAAACGGTCTCGCTGAACGAAAACATCGTCATATTGTTGAAACAGGTTTAGTCATGTTGTCTCATGCTCATGTCCTTAATAAACTTTGGTTCGATGCATTTCAAACAGCCACTTATATTATAAATAGACTTCCAACGTCTGTTCTCTCAAATATTTCACCATTTGAAAAATTGTTTCAAAGGAAGCCTAACTATAAGATGTTTAAAGTGTTTGGCAGTTGTTGTTTTCCATGGTTGAGATCGTATGCTAATAATAAACTTGAGTCCAAATCAAAGTCTTGTGTGTTTTTAGGATATTCACTTAACCATTAAGGATATAAATGCTTGGATTTATCCACAATACGAGTTTATTTGTCTCGCCATGTCCTATTCGATGAGGACTCTTTTCCTTTCTAGAAACTCACACCTATCGAGGGTTGTGTGGATAAACTTGAGTCCAAATCAAAGTCTTGTGTGTTTTTAGGATATTCACTTAACCATTAAGGATATAAATGCTTGGATTTATCCACAATACGAGTTTATTTGTCTCGCCATGTCCTATTCGATGAGGACTCTTTTCCTTTCTAGGAACTCACACCTATCGAGGGTTGTGTGGATAAAACAAGTTCAATCTCTTCACATGATTTGTTTTTTAGTATCCCATCTTCTTAACCTGCCTCCCCTGAGATCATTACCCTCATTAAATCCGTGCCAAATCCCATAGTTCCACAAACAAATCATGTTGTACATGAAATCCTAGGACAGTCTGCCATAGTGTCTTCCAATCCTACGACCAATAGACCACCTCTAGAATCCCTAAATGAGAAAGAGGTAGTGTCGTCCATCTAACAAAATGAACTAGTAAGTGCATCAACTGGTTCCTTTGCTGCACAAACTCCAATTCATCCCACGACAACTCGCAGCAGAGCCGATGTTCAAAAACCTAATCCTAAGTATGCATTACATATGACTACTAATCAAAAAATGCTTGAACCTACTTGTTTTAGTCAAGCAGTGAAGCATCAGGAATAGAGGGATGCAATGGTGAAAGAGTTCAATGCCTTACAGAGATGTGGAACCTGGAGGTTGGTGCCTTATTATTTTTCCATGAACTTGTTTCCTAATAAATGGGTTTACAAGATCAAACAATGTGTTGATGGCTCAATTGAACGTTATAAGGCAAGGTTAATAGCTAATGGTTTTCACCAACAGCAAGGGATTGACTACAATGAAATGTTCAGTCCAGTTGTCAAACATAGTACCATTCGGTTCGTTCTCAGTCTTGCAGTTTTGAATAACTGGTTAGTCCGTCAATTGGATGTTCAGAAAGCGTTTTTGCATGGCTATCTTGCAGAGGATGTTTACATGAGGCAGCCAGTGGGTTTTATTGATCAACAGTTTCCCATTCATGTATGCAAGTTACATAAGAGTTTATATGGTTTGAAACAAGCACCTTGTGCTTGGTTCCAACGGTTTTCAGATTTTTTGCTAGGGTTCCAGGAGTCGAGATGTGATTATTCTTTATTTGTGTTTAATCATTGTGGAGTCTACTTGATTTTATTAATCTATGTGGACGATATATTGATAACAGGAAACAGTCCAGTTCAAATGAAGAATTTAATCACGAAGCTTGGCACCTTGTTTTCTATGAAGGATTTGGGGCCCCTACATTATTTTTTTGGGAGTTGAAGTTACTTATTTTAAGAATCATATGCATCTCAATCAAACAAAATATGCTCTTGATTTGTTAAAGAAAACCAAGTTCACTGATGTAAAGCCTATTTCAACTCTAGTACCTTCTGGACATAAGTTGAGTGCTCATGATGGAGACCCTCATCCTGATCCACAAATGTATAGGAGTGTTATGGGTGCTTTGCAGTATTTGACGATCACGCGTCTTGACTTGTTTTATGTCGTTAACCAGGTTTGCCAATTCATGCATTCACCAAAGAACACTCACTGGACAGCTGTAAAACACATACTGAGGTATTTGAAGGTCACTTATGATCATGGGTTGGTGTATAAGCCTGGTAGTATGCAACTTAGTGCTTTTTCTGATGCGGATTATGCTGGAGATCCAGATACAAGGAATTCTACAGGTGTTTTCTGTATTTATTTGGGGTCTAATTTGGTTTCACAGAGTTCGAAGAAGCAAAAGACATTGTCTCGTTCTAGTACTGAGGCTAAGTATAGATAATTAGTGTATACAGCTGCAGAGTTATCATGGTTGCGATCCTTATTCAAGGATTTGCAACTATGGCTTGCTTGGCCAAAAATATGGTGTGACAATACTTCTTCGATTTCCTTGGCTTCCAATCCTATTTTTCACTCACGCACAAAACATTTAGAGGTAGATTA